TAGCAATAGGTCAACTATACTTAGTGATTTATTGTAAGGTGTAGATGTATTTCTTGTTTTGTTTATATGACCTTGACCTCATTTTCTTGGACCATGTTAAGTTTATGTGATAGTTGTAGTAAAGCTTTATATTTAGGACTATCAACATAGAGGGTGGGCAGGACCTTTTTCGGGCCGTCGGGATCGGGTGTTTTTAAGCTCGGGATTTCGGGATTGACCCTTTCGGGATCCGGGATTTCTTTTTTCAAATTCCGAAATGTCGGGATTTAATTTATATACGCCCGTCAAAATTTTGACGGGACGTATTATGGTATACAAATGTCTCATCCAAATAAACTTAATACAGTTTTTCCTTATGATGGTCAAACGATCTGTATACTTTTTGGTGAAAATAAGATTAAAACTTTTTGAGTTACAGGACTTTGTAACTAAAACAGGGGTGTGTTTTTTTTTTCACATGTCGCGCCGTATCTCAAAAACTATTTATGATACTTGCTTAAAACTTCACACACATCTTAGTTATATTAATCTTAAGATCTGTATAATTTTTGGTGATGATTCAAAATTTTATTTTTGAGTTATTGAGTATTTTGTAAAAAAGGGGGATGGGGTTTTTAACATGTCTCGCCATATCTCAAAATCGATTTATGATTATTGCTTAAAACTTTACACACTTATTAGTTATATTAATCTTAAAATCTGTATACTTTTTGGTTTTTATTCAAAATTTTATTTTAGGAATATTGAGTTTTTTGTAAAAAAAAAAGGGGGGAGGGGGCTTTCACATGTCACGCTGTTTCTCAAAAACGATTTATGATAATTGCTTAAAACTTTACACACTTCTTAGTTATATTAATCTCAAGATCTGTACAATATTTGGTGATGATTCATAATTTATTTTTGAGTTATTGAGTATTTTGTAAAAAAGGGGGATAGGGTTTTTAACATGTCTCGCCATATCTCAAAATCGATGTTTGCATGATTATTGCTTAAAAACTACACACTTATTAGTTATATTAATCTTAATATCTGTATACTTTTTGGTTTTGATTTTAAATTTTGTTTTAGAAATATTGAGTTTTTTGTAAAAAAAAAAGGGGGGGGGGGGGCTTTCACATGTCACGCTGTATCTCCAAAACAATTTATGATTATTGCTCAAGACTTTACACACTTCTAAGTTATATTTATCTTAAGATCTGTATACTTTTTGGTGGTGATTAAAAATTTTGGTTTAGAGTTATTATTGAGTTTTTTGTTAAAAAAGGTGGGTTTTCATATGTCACGCTGTATCTAAGAAACTATTTATGATTATTGCACACAAGACGAAGGGCGTATCATGCGCTCATGGCGCAGCTGTTTTTTTTTTAATTTGGGACCTCGGGATTTCATGTTTTTAAGCCCGGGATTTCGGGATCAGGACCCATCCGACCCCCTCAACATAATATCAATGATAAGTAAAGAAGGCGAGACATTTCAGCGTTCGCACTCTAGTCGTAATTTGAAAAATTTTAAATAATTTGATTAAAACATTTATCGATGTTGCCTCTTTGTTGATACTATTATATTTTTTGTAGCTCGTCCGCTCTCATTTTATATTCGTTATGTAAAAAGAAAGTCACAACTGTTTTGTTTTTTAACAGGGATCACGAAACTTTAATCCTGTTCCATATCAGGCTGATAATTTTGGGCATAAAATTCATCTTGATCAAAATGAATATTGCAAGTATCCCTCGAAGTGGGATATAGAGAGGGGGTGATGTTGAGGTTACAAAAAGGGGATGTTGGATATAGGATTATAAAAATTGGGGTAATGAAATCAAGGGGACAACAAAGGTGGGATCTGGAGAAAAAAAAAGAGAAGTTTAGGAAAAGGCGCACACCGAGTCACTCCGACCTCATTCACGTTAATGAAATAAAATTCCATCTGTAATGTCGGAATAAGATTTAAGTGTTGTTCAGACATAATAATTTTGTACCTTCTATTTTTTTTTAAACAGACAATACCCTTTTCTAAAATTGACAATGGAAATGGGGAATGTGTCAAAGAGACAACAACCCAACCATAGAACAGAAAACAGCAGAAGGTCACCAATAGGTCTTCAATGCAGCGAGAAACTCCCGCACCCGGAGGCGTCCTTCAACTTGCCCCTAAACAAATTTATATATACTAGTTCAGTGATAATGGACGCCATACTAAACAAATTAAACACAAAAAAACTAAAATTAAAAATAATACAAGACTAATAAAGGCCAGAGGCTCCTGACTTGGGACAAGCGCAAACATGCGGTGGGGTTAAACATGTTTTTTGAGATCTCAACCCTCCCCTATACCTCTAGCCAATGTAGAAAAGTAAACGAATAACAATACGCACAGTAAAATTCAGTTCAAGAGAAGTCCGAGTCCGATGTCAGAAGAGGTAACAAAAGAAAATAACAACAGACTACTAGCAGTTACTGACATGCCAGCTCCAGACCACAATTAAACTGATTGAAAGATTATGACTTCATCATAGGAATATCAGGCAACTCCCGGTAAGGTTTCAGTATTAAACAATCATAAAATATTTAAGAGAAGAACATAACCCGTGTCATGCCAACAACTGGTTTTTAAATAAATGTGTTTAATTCCGATGTAAAGACCCTTTAAGTGAATCAATATTAAAGCCAAAATATGCAATCTTTAATGACCTGACAACAGTATCGTAACTATAGCCCTTCTTAATAAGTCTGTTTAAAGGTTTTGTTATCTTCTAATGTTCTTTGTTGTCGTTTGTTGATGTGGTTCATAAGTGTTTCTCGTTCTGTATATAGTTTAGACCGTTGTTTTTCTCGTTTGAATAGTTTTACACTAGTCATTTTGGGTGCACTTTATAGCTTACTGTTCGGTGTGAACCAAGACTCTGTGTTGAAGACCGTACTTTGACCTATAATGGTTTTTATTTAAAAAATTGTGACTTAGAAGGCGAGCTGTCTCATTGGCACTCATACCACATCTTCTTATATCTAGAGAAACGTAAACTAGCATCACATTTGAAGTTCATTTTTAACTGAAATGCCACCTCACATTCATTCCAAATAATAGAAAATCTGTCTCAAAATGAACAAAGTATTCAGCAATATCAATGTTGACAACATCAAACCTATTATGACTATACATTTACCAAAAAAACTATACTATAAAGATAAAAGACCACATGAACAATTATACACCTTAATCTTCAAAACTTGTCTCCTAAAGACAGTCGTAACTAATTCCACCAAGCACTGACTCAAATGTCTGCTTCATTCCTGATTAGTTTTCCCAAAATAACGTATTTCAGTTAAAAACAGAAAAATTGCTGTAAAATTCAACATCCAACTCACTGGACCAAAATGTAGCACGAGTAATTTTGATTGAGATTCGGAGATGTGGACCACAGCTTGTTCTAGTTGTAAACAGAGACGATGGATGCCAAATGTTAAAGCACTATTGGTATCTAAATAGCTAAGTAAATAAAAACCAAAAACAATGAAAATTATATAATTTTATCTAGTTAAGAAATGGAGCATTCAATGACTTCCAAAATAAGCCGTATTTAGATGGAATATGGCATATTCATCAACCTTTTTCAGGGAGACTGGGAAAAGAACAGCTTTCCTATGTGTTGTTTTTATCTTTACACCTTTTCTAGGTTGTCACCGAGGGTATCACCAAGCCCGTAGCCAGTGCATGAAAGTACGAAATTTTATGTTAAAAAAATTTCCTGTTTCAATATTTTTTTATTTACTTTACATTCAGGTCAACTCTCTCGGCTTCGGGTAAACTATTTAGTCGTTGAGAACTTAGGGCACATTGTTATTGCTTTCAACTATGCATAATCCTTTGGATAGCCACAACAAATACGTGTATTTAAAAGCAGACATAGTTATGCTTTGATCTACACACAGGCAAATTGCTCAGATCTTATATTCAATGTACATTAACTTTTAAAAGAAGTTTAACGATGCAAATACTAAACTTGAGAGTAAAAATAAATATCTTTATTAATGAATTCAACATACCAATATCTATTTGATTTAACAGATATATAGAGAATATTTAGTTAACCTGGATGTAAATAACAAAATAGGGAAATATAAAATTCATGGTTTTAAACAAGGGAAATAACAATTGCATAACAATCCTGCGCCGCATCAAATAATTTTGCTGATGCGTTGTTGTTCTATCTTTTCGGGGTAAGGTAATAAATGTGTATATACGGGTTCACACATACACACATGTGTATTATATTTAAAGCATAAAAACAAAACTTCTAAAGTGTTAACAATGAATGAAAAAATAATTTGATTATATATTTTTCAATATCTTTGGAACATTTTTCATTTTGTCAAACGATTACAAAAATTGAAAAATGCTCCACACAAAAACATTTTTATTTTTGAGAAAATTTTCTGAAGACGAAAATTCAACCAATACGGGACATTTTTCTTTTTTCAATATTTAAAGGTAAATTGAAAAATGCTCCACGTTGGAGTATTTTTCATTTTTCAATTTTTTAAGGCAAATTGAAAAATGCTTAAGGTTAGCAATTTCAATATTTTGTTCTTTAGAAGGAGATTGAAATGTGTTTTTTTTCTTAAACAATCAAATTCGAATGTTTTAACTTATTCAAACTGTTGATAAGATTTAATCTTTTTAAGACAAACTTATTATTACTTTTTATATTATCCTCGTGAAATCAAATAATGTAATCTCATGAAAATTACAAATTTCAAATCTCATAACGAAAATGATTTTTCAGAAGTGACTTCAATAGATTTTTGTTACATTTATCAAACCAATTAACTTTAACATTTGTAGCGTATTTTGCAAAATCTATTTTGTCAGCTTAAAATGAAAAATGTTTGGCGTAAATATACACGGTCTGTCTATTATCCACGTTTGCAAAAGCTTAATATAACGTGGACAAGACAACCCGGTTAGTTTGCCTTTTTATAAATTTTAAAATTATATTTTGCAGAGGCGATTGCATGCCAATGTCCATGCAGCTCTCTTGGAATTGGGGCAAGGCAAGATTTATCTAACTATACAATAGATGAACTTCTCGAAAAGTTGGCTCCTCAACTGGCAAAAATGGAGAAAGAATTATCCATTGACAAATCCAACTTATCGGCGACGATTAATAAAAGGATAAGTGCAAAAGATGAGAGAAAGTCTTCTCAATCCATTGGCATTCTTGGAATAGTCTTCATTGTTTCCGTCATATTGGGCGTCGTTATAATAGATTTGATGTCAGCTGTGAAGTTGATAAAACCTGAATTGAAAAAAGGAAAAACTGATACTTCAAAACCAGAAGAACGTTCAGAATAGATGATATCATTTGATGGATCATATAAATCTGACTCCATGTTTCAAGTTTTATAATATATTCTATAATTAAAGACAGACAAATTTTGATTGATTTTTCAAGAACGATCAGTGAATATAGACTTTTTGGAATATACCTTGCAGATTATTTCATTAGGTGGTTAAAAGTTCCCCCACTTGTTGTTGAAACTAAATTTGTCTGTCTTTAATTATAGAATTGCATGCTGTGTGTTTTTTTTTTATAATTTATACTAAATTATTATAATCACATTTTGCATGAACAGCGGAAGCGCTTCTAGCAAAAAATGTGATCGTCACTTGCATTCATTTATTACAATTTAAAAAAAAAATCAAACACAGCATTTAAGTATATTTTTTGCAGATCCTTAAAATAAACTATGTGAATGTAATAATCATTTCGAAATCATAAAGTAAAACTAAACACAAACTTCCATAATCATTATCTATGCATACCATTGGATAATAATTTATTTGCGATTTTAAGAATTATCATATGCACAAGGTACACGAACAATGTGTGAACATTATTTTGGCTAATTAAGTGATGGAGCTTTTTTTTATATACTATTATCCTGGGTTGCATTCGTATACCTAAATTGCAATCATTATTTGAATGCAAGTGACGTACTCGATTCGTTTTTTTAGGCAATAAACGATGAACATTTATGTCAACATTACGTACAAGGTTATAGTTTTAATAATTTAGAATGTTCACTAATTTAACGATGTCATTTTGCATCGTCAATATATACTGATAAAGGATAATTGTTATCTGTAATATCTTTTAACTTTATGTGTTGTTGTACACTTTTTAGGCGTTTTTAAATTTACAATCATATGACCTTCATTAAAAGTTTATCTCCAAAATTATTAAGTTTATTTTAATGAGGTCCGCTTTTCTTTTTTTATTATTTATACATACCATTCTCAATAACATGTATTTAAGAAGTGTAAAAGTGTTGACCGTGCACACATTTTAGAATGAAACGCTTCCGCAGTTTTTATGTTATTTACCTGTGCAATTTTTTGTAGAAGCACGTGTCGTCACGAATGTAACATTTCATTTTGATATGAAGGTTAAATTTTGAATGACGCGCGATTGTTGTTAGCCAAGCAAACTAACGAATTCTTGTGAAACATACATGTAATGTAATTTTTTCCAAGTGCAGTTTTGGTATAATGACACAAGGTGAACATCCAAATTGTTTACCCGATATGGCCTGTCTTCCCGAGGGCTTTATGAAACGTAATTGTATATCATAATTAAGTTTTGATTCAAGAACTTTAACTAGAATTTATACCAGTGCTAAAATTATGAAAGTTTATAAAACTTGAGCCAAGGGAACAGTTGTTTACACATCTTTGCACAATAGTTTGTGGTGTTGATAACAAAAATGATAGCGTTGATAGTACCTATTATATATGAGAAAAAAATGATGATTAGTCCCCTATTTTCATGAGGCAACTCATTCTGATAAAGGATTTTTTATCCGAAATATTTATTGATTTTTGGTGGTGTTGTATCCTTTTAAAACGTATATCATTACTATTTATTTTATAGATTCGATAATATTAATTGTACACACTTATATGAATGGTTTCAATCGCTTGTTTTATTGTGTGTGCTTCCTACTTCACGATCATAAAGTTTATCGTGCACTGTTAACAACATTCGAGCAATAAGTCTAAACTTTTAAATTGAAAAGTTAGGAAGAGTGCCCAGTTGTATATTTTTGTGTGGAGCATCGAAAGAAATAATACATACTGGTGTAAACATAACAATACATGTTCCTGTGTTATCCATTTTTATCTTATTTTTTTATCTTTGTAACAAGCTCAACATGAAGTTTAGTGGAGATTAAACGATGTGCCTATATGTATTTTCAATTGAGTTCTACTGTATCAATTTAAAAAAAAACTCACCATGTTTTAAAAGGTGACGAACATATGTATTTCAAATTGGAGTCTACGGATGATTTTTGACATGAGAAACAATGTATAATATTATGTCCTACATAGATATCAGTTTTCGCTGAAATACGAGCTCTCCGAATTTAAGGAGTTTGGGAGATATTTTGAAAACAGAGGATGACGAAGTAATTGTGAGACCAGAGATTTATTAAGGATACATGTTCTATGTGAATATCTTTCATTGTTATCCAAACACGTTGAAAATTTTTTTTTGGTGTTAGGTAGATATTTCCATTGTGCATCAGGCTACTTATTCTGACGAAGGATATTTTTTATTCGAAATATTTATTGTATTTGGTGGTGTTGTACCCTTTTTAGACGTACATTATTACTATTCATTCTATAATATTAATTGTACACACCTATATGAATGGTTTTAATTGCTTGTTTTATTATGTGCGCTTACTATTTCACGATCTTGATAATTACTATAGAGACCATCAAGTTTATCATGCACTGTTAACAACCTTCAAACAATAAATCTAAACTATTAAACTGAAATATCAGAAAGAGTGCCCAGTTGTACATTTTTGTTTAGTGCATCGAAAGAAATTATAAAATTTGGTGTAAACGTTCCTTGGTTATCCACTTTTATTCTAATTTCTAATTTTTAGTTTTTTTTACAAGCTCAATACGACATTTAGTGCAGATTAAACGAAGTGCCTATTTGTATCTGCCAATGAGTTTTACTGAATCAATTTAAAATTAAACTCACCATGTTTTTGAAAGATGGACAACAGATGTATTGCAAATTGGAGTCTATGGATAAATTTTGACTTGAGAAACAATGCATAAAATATCTCCTACCTTAATATCATATTTCGCTGAAATACCAGAACTCTGAATGTTAAAGCATTTTGGAGGCCATTTTAAAAACGGCGACAGAAGAAATAATGTTGACACCAAAAATTTATCCAGGATATCATGTTCTAAAAGTGTCTAGCAATCCTTCTCATACTTTTAAATTGTGGGTTCATAAAATCATTTTCTCAACATTTGGTTTTTTTTTAAGAATTTTTATTCAATAATAATATGATTTTCCTATTTTCACTATTATATGAAATCCACAGCTACATATAATGCACAACAACTGTATACAAAAATTATCCACGTGATCCCAACAATTCCGAGTTTTTTCCATTTACAATAATTGTTCACGGACCGCAGACGGACGGACGGATGGACAAATTGATAGCTGTAGGGCTCTTGCGAGGCACTTTTTAATGCATTTTCTTACAAACTCACAATTCAATTTACTCACATCAGAACAATCGATTCATATGTTTATAGAACTTTGTCCTGGCATTGTCAACATCAGAAATTTAAATCATATACTTACAAGTATTTGTTAGTAAAAAATCATCAAAAATGCCAAGTTATACAGACATAGCCAAGCAATATTAAAGTTATGCATATTAGAGGACTTTCAGATTTACATGGAAACATCTCTGCAGTCAGAATGAGCAAATTAATAGCTTTAAATAGAATAATCTTAGAATTGAATGCCAGGGGTTTCAGCATGCAAACCGGTTTCTTTTAGAAAAACAATATATACGTTGTTCTATAAGTAGATTTTCCTTGGATTTGCATTTGAGTACATTTTTGTACTTTTAAATTGATTTTGTTTTCATTTTGAGGATTACCCTGTACAACGAGAACGCGTTTTTTGACTTAGATTTTCGTGCTTGCATTTTCTTATGTTGGCGTTGTTTGTTGTGTTTTTTGCAATTTTATGTGAGTTTAACAAAAAATGGATTTTGAGGATTTGTTTTGAATTAGTAAGATTTCATAATCGCATTGATATTTATTTATTTATGTATTAATCTTTATGTAATGATTATCTAATTAAGCTTGTGCGTGTTTTATGTACTGATCTAGGATGTTTTTTTTTCATATTTATTGATAGTCAATGTGATGTGAAAGTAACTAATCTATTGAGATTTGGGATCAATTCTTTTTTAGGGTATTAATTATGTGTGTTCCTATGTTTGGTATAAGTCAATGGGACAAAAACGCAACGATATAAATAACCGATAATAATAAACATCTAGAGGTCAACGTCTATTCTACCATCTTTCTTCAGATGTCTATACACATGGCAAGCTCTAGGTTGTCCCGTGTAAAAAAACGTTAACATATCAAAAATATACTGTTAAAGATTTGCAATTAATACCAAAATCTTCTTTGACCAAAAAACATGCTGATAATGATATCACATAACAAAGAGAGGGGCTTCGGTGGCCGAGTGGTCTAAGTAGTTCAACTACTGTATCACTAGCCTGTCAACACTGGGTTTTGGAATCTTGCACATGGCAGGTACATTCAACTCAAATCTTACTTGACTAGGATTGTCAGTTTTCTTGCCGAAGACCGGCGATTTTGTCCTGGGATTTCGGCTTCCTCCACCAAAGAAAACTGAACGCCATGAAATAGCCATTAGTGCTGAAAGTGGCGTAAAACAACAAAGGATAATAAGTTTAATCAATCGTAACAAAAAGTGGATAAAACCTTTATTCAGACGTTTCTATCTTGCGTAGTCCCTTAGTCGGTTCTACGGACTCTCACAACAAATATTATACAATGTTGTTTATATTGCTGTACTTTTGAGTTTCCATCCATTAGGTTATTTAAAGTGGAATATATAAATAAAATGCTTCTGATGACATCAGTTAAGGCCTCGGAGGGCGAGTGGTCTAAGTAAAGTAGTTCATCTACATCAGGCCTTGGTGGGCGAGTGATATAAGTAAAGTAGTTCATCTACATCAGGCCTTGGTGGGCGAGTGGTCTAAGTAAAGTAGTTCATCTACATCAGGCCTTGGTGGGCGAGTGGTCTTAGTAAAGTCATCTACATTGATCACTAGTTGGTCAACTCTGAGGGTTTGAGTTTGAATCTCGTTCATGGCGCGGTGTGTTCGATTCTGATCTTTTTTTACCAGGATAGCCAGTTGTTCTGCCGAAGTTCGGTGGTTTTCTCCGTTTATTTCGGCTTCCTGTGCCATTAAAAACTGGCCACCATGCTATAGCCAACGTCGATGAAAGTGGCATTAAATTCCAACCAACAAACAAACTGAATTCATTGTAAGGATAATTGGGATAAGCCAGCTTCCAACAATGTCAATAATATATTCTCTAAATATCATTACAATTATAGTTACAGAGAATGACATGCAAAATAGAAATGAAAGTTAACATTGTTAGGTAGATGCTAGTAAACATACGTGTAGTATTAAAAAGGTGCAATATGAAAACAACATAATAATGTCGTTTATCAAGGATGACCGATTTTTTTTTCGTCTATTTTTTTTAGAAGAGAAACTTTCAATTGTAAAACATTTAAGTGACATGAATGACATCGGAGCTGCAGTGTTGTCAGAAGTAACAAGTTTTCTTCAATCACGTTAATGCTATGCTTATGTATTTTTTGGTGATGTTTGTAATAAAATTGCTTAATTATTTCAGCTTAACTATTTCACTTTATTTAACTTGAGATATAGACCGCTAGACGTTAAGCATCAACCAATCAACACTTTTAAGCTAATCTCTGAATGTGAATAATTCCTGTCAATTGCTTTTTGTAACTTTCTCATTTACCTCTGAAACAATTTTTCCAATAATCACATAACTCATTGGTTCATGTTTGTCATATTTATTTTTCGTAAAGTGTTTTGTTGTTAATTATGCCGTTAGTTTTCTTGTTTGAATGTGTTTCACATTTTATCATGTCGGTGCCTTTTATACCGACTCATTTGATGAATAGTTGTCCATTTGGCAATCATACCACATCTCCTTATTTTTACATGGGAAGGAATAATGTGCAGAAGGTTATTAGACAAATCTAACGACGAGTCTATTGTTAATTTCTTTATTTTTGTCAAGACAGACCGTAGAGCTGGGCTGAAAAAAAACTTGAAGCCTTATAGGAGCCTAAATCGATCACCTTAACGAATTCATCATGAATGCAAGTTGTAAAAATAGGCTTTTCATTTGGACCAAAATAATAACATATCTTAAAGAACCCTTTAAAGAACCATTCGGCATAATATGTTTTCGATTCCTTTTATCTGTTCTTAAGGTGGTATCAAGCACCTTGACTAAAATTAATGTGGCTCGTTTAATTTTCATAAAATTTTGACCAAATATTTACTTTGATTCTTTGACAAAAATATAAAAACTTGAACCACACACTTTATTGGAAAATTTTCATTGGATATATAGCAGTTTGACAACCACTAATTTTGATCATTCAGAAGCTTAATATTTCCTTAACAATAGAACGTGATTAAAACGTTCAGCTGATTTTTACAGAGTTATCTTCCTGTAGTGTTATGTACCACCTTAGATAAAATTTAAAACCTGGTTTCCCATAGGTTTCAATGTATAAATACATCAGCTTGGACCCTTTCGAATGTTAAAAGTAACGACTGCATGGTTTGTTTTCGTTCACGTTCTGGGCTTTTTTGTCAAAAGAAAAACAAAATGTATTTCCAAAAGCGTTTTCAAAGTAACAGGTCTTAAGACAATGGCGGTCATTACTCAGAAAGTACCTTATAATAACCATCTCTTCATAGTTTGGTTTCATTCTGTACAGATTGTTTTAAGGAAAAATAAAATATGTGAAAAGTTAACATAATATTGAAGAGGGTTGTCATGTGGTGACACAAACTCACATGGCTGTTAGCCAAGTGAGCTACTTACAAGCCGACAAGAAATAATGCAGATTTTCCTATACAACTGATCTCTTTTAAGTTAAAATCCGAAAATCATAAGCCAAATCTTTCATTCTTTGATTAGAATGGTGAATAAAAATTCCTATTTTCAGTAAAATAACTCACTACATTCAAAAGTAGACCGATTCACATTTGAATATTGTACAAGAATCTTGACAGTTTCTGTGAAAGAGCTATCTTTTTGTTGAACAGAATGTGAACCAGCTATTGCATGCTCCACAATCAGTGTAGTTTTGTATGCTGTTGAAATTTCTATTCTACCCAAACAAAACCAACACATTCAGATATCACAAAATAAGCATGTGTCCAAAAGATACATAATGCTCGTGATGATGATGTTTAATGTGTACAATTTGATAAATGATGATGATGATGATGATGATGATGATGATGATGATGATGATGATGATGATGATGATGATGATGATGATGATGATGATGATGATGATGATGATGATGATGATGATGATGATGATGATGATGATGATGATGATGATGATGATGAAGATGATGATGATGATGATGTTACACACTACCTGGACACATTATTCTGTCTCCGAGTCGACCAAATTTTGCTCTTACTCCTTAATGCCGCTTTTATAGCGCAGAAGCAGCAATAACCAAGTTTAAAGTCTTTGGTTTGACCTTGCCTGTTATCGAACCTACGATCTCCCTCACTTCAGAGGCGGTACACTTCAGAGAAAGTCTATACATTAATAAATGTAGTCTTCAGTGCACAAGTTATGGGAAAATAGTAACAATGCCCATGGGTATGTTGTTACAAACAAAATCACCAGTTTCTGATGGATATTTGATACAATTATTGGTTTAAATAAATAACACATTTACAAATTAAGTGTAAAGTAGAATGGAAGTCAATAACATTTAGGAGAAATGCAACACCGTATTCATCTTTTATATCTTTACAAATCGAATGATACGTCTTTTGAAATAAGCACATTTGGTATCTGTCAGTCACCTGTTGAAATACACATAAGTGGTTTTGAATTGATATTTCGACAAGAAAAGTAGCTCAATCTTCCTGCGTCAAATCTTTTTCGAGGATTTTTTCGATCATTATATTTAGTATCGATCTGGTGGTTTGAATGAACATTTTCTATGACCCTCCCATGTAAGAAAAATCTCTATCTTGTGTGTACACTTTAAAATAAAAAAAACATTCGTCCTATGTCGCCTATTACAGCTACTGGTTCTCTTCTGAAGTAACATTAAAACCTCCTATCGACCTGTTGCCGAAATCAAGGTTTCTGAGAAGCACGTCTTTAAGTGACACACCGTTTAATTTTGCAGTTTAGACAAATACGGCGTTTATCTTTTTATGTCATGGGGAATATATTCCGAATATTAGAAAATGTTTTGGTGTTGAAAAATCGTTTCAGTCTGTCTTTCCTAGCCTTCCCGACAGAAGGTCTTTCTTTCTCAGAAGCAACATTATACACCGTAAAAACTCGGGTCATTCTTTATTTACTCTGTTCATGAATTAACTGTGTAAATACCAGGAACTATGGATAACTTGTTTTGTGTTATAATATACAAAGTTCCTTGTCTATATCTCTTTTGTAACTGGTACGGTCAACAAATGATACGCATATTGAATGACCAAAGGAGAAAAGCAAGCCCTAATTTTTATTTTCCTTCCGCGATGAAATTTTCGATACGATATCAGACAAGTCGTACAGTTTTGAAAAGTCTCTTTTCGTAATTCTTATGATGACAGCTTTTTTCCCAGATCAGGATAAGAGCTCATCACGGGATCTTTATGTTGTAGATTTAATGCTATGCACGTGCGTTTGTGACTGTTCTCCAGTCCATTTGACTAAAATGTCCGTTTTATCAATAGGATCTGTTTCGCCTTCATTTAATGTGTTTAAAACCATCGTCATGGTCCAATACAGAATAACTGAAATAAAATTGTCTATGAGAGGACTGTACTGCCTCCTATCTATTTCCCCATATACAATGAACTACAGTATTGATACCCAGTTTTATTGTCAATAATTCAAAGAAAAAAAAGTATTAACAAAAATACCGAACTCCAAGGTAAATTAAAAAGGGGACGTCTATAAAACTGCCAAAATCAAACTTTATACTATATCAACCAACGGAACGAATGGAAAACAACTGTTATATTCTTGATTTGGTACAGGCATTTTCTGAAGAAAGTGGTGGGTTTAATCTGGTTTTATCGCTAGTTAAACCTTTCAATTGCATAAAAGTTGTTTAGTGTTCCGTTATATTGACATATTGACAAATTTGAGTGGGCAACCCAGCAGATATAATTGTTTACTGTGACAATAAACACGAGCTACAAAATTATTATGAATGTCTTAAAATGAATTATATTCTTGATGATGATATATAATGGGCGAAATATTATATATGATTATGATTATACTTGATAATACGCGGTAAGAAGATTGTGTCCGTTTCTGTAGGATATTTTAGATTTTGATCTTTTCAAATGTTTTAATGATTGACACGTTCGCAAAGTGAAAAGTTTACTAGACAATGGAAAGAAACATATAAATTTGTCAGAGTCACTAGCATTTCGGAAAATGTTAGCACACATATTCAGGTGAAAAACAAGTTTACTATACACAATTGGTAAATCTGCAAAGCCGCCTATATTATAAGTTTCTAGAATTTTAGGTTTTGATTGTAATTATGTATATAAATATTTTATACTTTATACCGTGGGAAAAGGAATTTTCAGTTTCCAGAAGCAATTTCGAAAAACAAAAGAGGACAATCGGAAATGTCTCACCTGCTTGGATGACTGAAAAACATGTTGATTTTTTAAATTTCCCATTTCTGAGCAGTAACATACCTTCTGTCCTATAGTAAAGCGTATACATATCTCAATCAATACGTTACGCTTGTGCATGTTCACATAGTATTTACTTATTTATCAGGGTGTGCTCCTGAAAAAAACTTAACGGTCACAATCCGACATTTTGAGTGAGTTTGGATCCCTGTGTAGGTTGACGCATGTATTACAGAAAACTGCTTACACTGTCTACGCAACCACATTCCCTCCTCTAAATCACGTGATTCATTGTTTATAACTTTTACGTTGATTTGTATCTTCTTAATGGAATTATGAGACTTGAACATAGCTGGAAAACTACTGTTGCCTTTGAAATATTATGAAAACTGAACATTGTAAAATGAATCATTAAAGCAATCAAGATTAGGTGAATCCTTAAAGATTGACATATACACCTAATAATGAACTTATAGTATAAATATTGAAGACCTATTAAATGATTTAAACCAATTTTGAACTGAAACAGTCATTTTGATCTGAACAGCTCTTGAAAGACTGAACAATTAAATAATCTGTGCGAACACGTTCACATATCCCCACGTCCTCACATTGTAACTGGGCAAACAAAATAAAAAAAGTTCATAGTCTCAAAACTCCTACAAATGTCAACTGATAACACTTTTTTGTAGATTTGCAAATCTTCATACATGACATACTATGTCTTTATTGTTTACAAAGTTTCATCTGTTGTGTGGTTTCAGAGGAGTTGCGACGACAAACTATTGCAGAAGTATCTTTAGGCCAAAATTATAAGTCCGAAGGGACATACCTCCTAGAAAAAAAATAAATCATAAATTTCTGTTGATATACACATCTACATAGTATGTCATTATTATTATCTACAAAGTTTAATGAAATAATATTGTGTGGTTTCAGAG